AAATTTTAAGCCATATTGTTGGCTCTTTTCTTCATGAGAAAATAAATACATACATATAAGTCGCTTTACAGCACTCCCTCGCGCTCTACGACTCATAACCTCCACCGCTCTCTTTCAAACCACAAATCTTGGGGGATTGAGCACCTTAACATTTCCGCTTCCATCCCTTCCCTCCAACCTTTCATTGGGCGCCCTCTGCGTCTTCTCCCAGGAGGAACCCAGTCAAGGACCTTCTTCGGCAACCTGTCTCCTGCCATTCTCTGGACATGACCTTACCAAATGAGTTGTTTTGTCATAATGTCATGCACGATGGTCTGCTTGGCATCCATGATATCCCGTACCGTCTCATTCCTGACGCGATCCTTTCTGGAAATACCAGCGGATCTACGCCAGAAGTCCATCTCTGTTGCCTCTAAAACCTCTCGGGTCCGCTGTTTCATCGGCCATACGTCACACCCGTAGGTTACTATGCTCTCGACAATCGCGTTGTAGATCCTTCTTTTGTTCTCTTTGGAGATCCTTTGGTCCCAAAGGACTCCATTTAACATAGCGATTGCCCTCCTACCCAGCATATTCCTCTTCTTGATGGCCTGGTCCAATCTTCCATCCTGGGTTAAAAACACTCCTAAATATTTGTAAATATCGCAGCTTCCAATTTGCCGCCCATCCTCTAATTCTATACTTTGCTGATTCCCGCCGACGGTCAACTTCTCGGTTTTGCTGACATTCACCTCGAGACCCCATTTCCGATACTCAGCCACCAACTTTCGAGTCATGTACTCAGCATCATCCTGATCTTGGGCGATAAGTACTTGGTCATCAGCAAAGCATAACGTGTAAAGAGTTTCTTCATCATTCAGAGGGACACCCATTCCGGAACATTTTTTCTTCCATTCACGCAGTACATGTTCTAAGTATATTTTAAACAAGGTTGGGGAGAGGCAACACCCTTGCTTTAGTCCCTTTGTTACATAAAAACCCCCCGACAAGTCCCCTTTACATTTAATTCTTGCGAAAGTCCCTTGATAAAAAAAGCTTAATTGCATTAATTAGTCCACGAGTAAAATCAGATTCTTCCAAGGCCTCCCAGAGTTTCACTAAAGGCACGCTATCATAGGCTTTTTGCAAATCCACGAACACCAAGTGCAATTCTTGACCAACTGCCATCTTCTTCTCAATAACCTGGGTGATGCAAAATAGATGGTCGACGGTTGATCTGCCAGCCCTGAAACCCGCTTGCTCTTCTGCCTCATGATGAATCCAAAAATGAGAAAATAAATCAAGAGCGTAAATGTTGAAACACCGCAATGGTGATACATGGTTTCGCACTTTCGCCATCGATATTGATTGTGAGTTTTTCACCCTTTCTCGATTAGAAACTATCCGGATTTAGGGCTCCTTACAAAAATGTTGGAATATTTTGCGTTTCTCTTAATAATTTTTAGCGCCTAGATGAACATTTTTCCTGGAAATTGTCAGGTATAATTCACAAGATACAAAATAACTATACATCTGAGTTTGATGGTGATTTCAAAGTTTTCAAAGTCGACGCAGACGATTCGGAATACTTCAAAATCAATGGATATTTCAGACAAAATAGTTAATCAACTTTTGTTTATAATTTTGCAAGATAAGCCATATGGGATTAAAAATTATCATTACCTGAACCGCAGAACAAGGTGTGAGAAGCCATGAGACAACGGGCAAGACACGGATCATTAATTTAACGGAGCAGATCTCCGATTCTTTCACACATGGGAGTTCATGCAAAGCAAATGAACCTCGGTAGAAGATATATTCATCATTATTTTCTCCCGGCACGAAGAACAGAAGGTGAGTCATAAATTACCGAAGAATTGACAGTCTATCGCTGAAGCCTGAAGTACGTGGGTTTCGGGATGGCATCATGCGATGCTCCACACGAAAGCGTCGAGCGTTTAACTTAACGGCGTTTTTTCGCGAGGTCCTTGAAATTTGTCGCGGGACCATAAAATTTCGGCGTGATAAACGAGTGAAAATTCGGCAGATTCACGCCTCCGCTTTTCCGGTCGTCTGCGTAAACCGTTGGCATCGCCCGCGGCCGGCGCTAGTCGTTTGACGAGATCGACGAATTCGATGACTCAACGTCTTGTTTTCGGTTTAATTTTAAGTAGGCCCTGCTCGCGCCACGGCCCACACGATTCGAGTTCATAAGATCTGTTGAGCCCATTTCTGCTGCCTCGGTATAAGCTAAAATTGAGTGTTGTCCTCTTTTATTATAAGTCGAGGCGCCGTAGCAATTACGTTTTTTTGTACTGCCAATGAATGTCCGTCCAAAGACGACCATATTGGTAACGAGTTGATACCATATTGTTACCAACATGGTCTGTTTTGAACTTGGATGGTGTCAATACGGCATCGACGTCAGTTGCGATTTTGAAAGTTGGGAATCCAGTTTAGATCCATTAAAAATATCGATTTTAGGCGAGACGAGCTGCCACTAGATAGTGTTAGATAGTGTCTTGTGTCAAAAAATCTAACACTACCGGAAAGTACATAGTCCATAAGTACACAGCTGTTGGTCAATTTTTTTTTTTTATAGCCTTTTCTCTTACATAAAGAAATCCGCGACACCGCGCCGCTTAGAAATGCGGAGCGGCGCGGCGCTTAGAAACGACTGTTTCACATACTGTAGAATCAACTGTTTCACATACATTTACATACATGTACATATAAAGCCGCTTTGATAGCGCTCTCTGGCGCTCTGCGAGACCTAGCCGCCAAAGTCCCCTATCCTCCCAAAGCCCTTCATGGAGTTGGCACACCCGCATTTCTTCTAAGACCCCCTGTCGCCACCCTTTCACTGGCCGTCCCCTTCGTCTTTTTCTAGGAGGCACCCAATCAAGCATCTTCTTCGGGTGCCTTTCGTCCGCCATCCTATTGACATGACCGTACCAGACAAGCTGTCTGGTCATGACGTCAAATACGATGTCATTTGCGACTCCCACGATATCATTCCATATTATTGCGGACCCGATCTCTTTTAGAGAGGGCATGCGAAGAGCAACAGAGGTGGATTTCTGGCAGGAATTTCCAAGAGATCGGGTATACTTTTTTCAGCCATATTAATCGGATTAAATTTTGCAATTTGGAACTACAATATCTATAGCTCAGTTTAGAAACGACGTATGTACCATTAGTTTCCCTATGCACATGGGTGTTTTCACGGATGAGCTAGAAATTGTAGTTCCGAATCGCAAAATGTAGTCCAATAAATCGGCTCCTTCACTGGGGGAAAAAAAACAAACAAAAACAACATTGGATCTAGAGTCCAGACTCTTAAAAACATCGACAAGGTAAAATACTCTTGATTCAATCAGATTTAAGCTTAAAATAAGAACCAAGCCTCTTAATTTGAGCGGATTTCCATTTGATTTAAGCTTAAATCTGATCGAATGAAGAGTCATTTTTCTTGTCAATGTTTTCAAGAGTCTGGACTCTAGATCCAATGTTTTTTTTTTTTTTTTTTTTTTTTTTTTTTTTTTTCCCCAGTGTTGTTTTAAAGACTTCAACTATCGATCGTGATAGCTTGGCTATGATCCCAAATTTTCTCTCCATTTTTTTTCCGACTGAAACCCTACCATTCCGGCGTCCACGTATGAAAGAAATAACGAATCCTCTTAATTTTCGAAAATGGCTGCGGGGAAGCATCTCGCACAACGCCACCTCCAGACGGGGAGGATCGGGAGTAATCTTATCTCGGGATATGCGACATGCGTGCACTTGCGTGTAGCAATTAGGGTGACCGCAGACACGAGATGAATAGACTCGAGTCGGAGCAAGCTCACCTCTTCCGACTCACTTTTAACCCCCCCCCTCCCCACTCCTGCCCCCTGGCTCCCCGCTCGTCCCTCACCCTTGGCACCCCGTCCGCGGCAGATGGAAACGTGAGGCAAAACACAAGCGAAACCGAAAAAAAAGAGGAGAAAACGGAGAAGTGAAATTAGTAACGGAGGTTAGGTGCGCTCCCGATTCCCGAAGCAGGTCCCACCGCCGTGCTAGGGAAGAAGGGCGTATGTATCAGCGCACGTTGCCGAATTTCCCCCGAAAAATAGTTATTTTGGCGAAAAGTTGAGAGTATACTACCTTGAAATTTTTAGACACATGTACTTATGAAATTGCGAGTATTTTTTTTTTTTTTTTTTTTTTTTTTGAAAATTTGAAGAAAGGAAATGAAGGGCTTGAAGGACAAGGCGCATAAGTGCTGTCTTTGCTGTTTCAAGAAATACGTGTTCAAAGTTTCAAAATTACATGGAGCCTTATGGCAGAGAGGAAGTTTTAACTCACTTTTTGATGCCTTCACTGGAAAAAAAACACATTGGATCTAAAGTCCGGACTCTTAAAAACATCGACAAGAAAAAATACTCTTGATTCCATCGGATTTTAGCTTAAATCAAGAACCAAGCCTCATAATTTGAGCGGATTTCCTGTTGACTCAGGCAAAAATCCGATTGAATCAAGAGTACTTTTTCTTGTCAATGTTTTCAAGAGCCTGGACTCTAGCTCCAATGTGTTTTTTTTTTCCAGTGTTAAATTTGGATTTTAGTTGTGAATTTTTTACAAAATACACTATCAAACTAGGTCTAGTTGAATTCACAAATATCTCAATTTTTTAATAAAAAACTGCACTTGTGCGCTTTGTCCTCCAAGCCCCTCAAATTTAAACATTTTTTGGGGGAGATTGGTGTTTTTCCGGGGGCAATTTGGCAACGCGTGAGTTTTGATACGGGGTTTATCCCTAGCACGGGAGTCCAGGTCTCGCATCCCGAGGCAGGAACAATATTTCGGAAATGGAGGAGGAAGGAGTGAGTTTATTTATAGTAGCGCATGTGTGAAGCATGTTGGGAGCCGTACGCGCGCGGAGCCCCCGCCCCCCGCGCCACCGGCCGGCGTCGCGGCGCGGGGCGGCGGGGTGGCGGGGGTCGGAGCCGAGCGCTCTTCAGTTTCAGTTCAGGCTGGATCTTCGCCGCGGCCGGTTTCCAGCGGGACCCGATTCGCGCGTTTGACTCGAAGTTTTCGTCCGTCCGGCGAGTGAAAGTAAAAATAACCCGGCCCCTAACCCAATTGCCAATTTTTACGCATTTCGCATTGTTGTGAGCGTTCGACCCCCGTGCATGTGACCCCCCGGTAGCCCCACGTGGCGCCAACCCCGCGGACCGGTTCCGCGAAAATTTTGTGTGTTGCGTTGAAAAAGTTCGGAAAATTTGAGAAATTCTAGGAATTTTCGGCTCTAATGCACTGTTGTTCCGCTGTTTTAAAAGTGTGTTTTGTATTTGGTTATTTGGATACGTCGGACCTTCACCTTTTTACAGGTAGTTTTTTCACTTTTTTTGGCTGCGAAGATTAAAGTACTATTTGCAGAAAGGACGTATGACTCATACGTCCTTTCTGCACCTATTACAGAAGCGATTTTGAAACTTGTACGGTGTAACCTTTGCAGTGCCGTTTGGATTGTATATTATTGTAGTTAATTTGCAACTAGATGGTATACAGGTCTTACCACAGTTTTTCTCCGAAAAGGTGCATTATTTTTACTACTTTTTACAAAAAATAATATGCGCTTAAGTATGCGATTATTTGGTTTGCTGCAAACTGGACATTCGTAATTGCACGATCTAAGCAGCGCTGCAAAGCTATAATATGTCATTTCTGCAAAGAATGACTGCAGGAATCTAAAATAATTTTGTTCCAACACATTTTTGCGTGGCGTCAGTGTGTGATTAGGTTGGAAGTGACGTATTTTTCTAAAAATCAGGTAGCAAGCACGTTACCAGACGTGTCGCACAACAATACGACATTCACATCGCTTGCAACTAACGTAAGACGCTTTGCAATTTTCCAATTTTTTGACAGGCCTTCCTGTAAAAGTCCCTCGGAGTAAATTTTCTCTTTAAATTTTAGAAGATGGAATCGGAAACAAATGCTTTTTTCGGGTGGAAGATTAGATCAATATCAACAATTAACTTCAAGTAGGTATCGATATAGAGACAAATTCCGCGAGAGAACACGACAGTCTAGCGGAGGAGTCGATAACTATTCGTGCATCACCGTGTAACTTTAAGCCTACCCTCGAATTTGAAGGCGAAAGTTACGACGGAGAACTCACGGTGCGCTCCTGACTCGGATGATGGTAGTCTCGAGGAGCTTATCTGCCGATCAGTGCCCCTGGTTTCGATTACAGATCGGGTATCAGCTGTCAGCGTGAGATGCTCATAGTTGGCGGCCGGCGGCGATTTCTGTGGTCGGCCCAACAAGTCTAACAAAACTGAGAATGAAAAGGTTATCGTGAGGTTAAGGTGCGTGAGAAACAAAACATTTTCGGTGTCCCTGTGCCCCAAGTGCTTCGGTCGCTCCGCCCGGAACTGCCCGGGCGATGCACCGTAGAAGTAACTATCAAAACACGGTGTCTATAGTCTGTCCCAGATACGAAGAGCCCTGGAAAATCAGAGTAATTAGCACTATTTGGCGGGTTGGGGTGCCTCGACCCTCGTCACCTGTCATCTCGTCGCCTCTCACATGCGTCGCACAGAGGGCCACAAGCCACCTTGAGGCAACGCATACTCCCTTCGCATCTTTCCGCGATGGTTTTCCCCGAGGCCCAGGAGCGGATTCCCGNACTGAGAATGAAAAGGTTATCGCGAGGTTAAGGTGCGTGAGAAACAAAACATTTTCGGTGTCCCTGTGCCCCAAGTGCTTCGGTCGCTCCGCCCGGAACTGCCCGGGCGATGCACCGTAGAAGTAACTATTAAAACACGGTGTCTAGAATGATTTCATGAGGATTTCCGCGCTTTCCAACCCTATTCGTCATTTTCCGGACGAAGGGACGTAACTCTCTTTCAAGGTTGCCAAATTGTCTCAAACAATTTAATTTCTTTGAAAGAATATATCTGTGCATTTATTGTTCAAAATTTTCCTGATTTTTGCATGAAATCAGAGGAAAATCAAATAAAAATTTCAGTTTGAAATTCCCAAAATTCTCCCGGTATAAATGCAATTTGCAAGAGGTAATCTGGCAACATTGGAATGTAGTTACGTTCTTTTGTGGTACGTTTTACGGCAAGATTTCGATACGATAACATTCCGTCCGTTCTACCGGCTCTGTTTAATTGTCAATGCTCATTTACAAGTTTTATTGGATCCCCGTGCATTCCTAATTTTTACTGCTCCCCATTATGGCTTATATCTTCCTCCGAGCACTTTTTGACTCGCGCCGAGTGTATCAGAAGTGCTGTACAGTTTTTTTACGTTTCGGAAAACGTGAAATTACGTTGTGTTTGTTTTTAATAATGCGTCGTGCTTGATGCGACACTTAACGTTCAGCTGTGTTTCCATCCTGGAATTCTGAAAATGAGTCACGGTGCTAATTGCGGTCCTGACGCGAAGTTTGTCCAACTTTGTTGTCGGAATATTCTTCTCGGTGTGAGGGAGTTGACCTATCCAGACGGTTTGATCCAAAAGTCTATCACCCGGAATTTAGCAGAGAAACACATCTGCGTGAAATGCATTTAAACAAACTTACTCAAAAAGAGGTAAAAAAAAGCAGCCCAAGCATGAACATAAGTTCACAATGCTGAACTACGATGCAGATGGACACAATGAGCTTATTTAGAAACCCTTGAGAAGGAAAATTTTGATCTGTGACCTTCCAAGAGGAAAGAGACTTCAGTTACTTGCGAGAATTGGTCTGAGAGGAATTTTTTGTATAGATGGATAAAAAAATTGGTAATTGGGTTTCGTTTAAAATCGTCTCTTGCTCGCATTCCGAAGAATATATTGCAATGGAGTTTTTCAATTTACTCTGCTTAAAAATGGCATATTTTTAATTCGGCAGTTTTGAATCTTGAATAAGGCTGTTCGAAGACATTAAAAAAGTACCTAGTTCTCCCTGAAGGTAAAATGTTACCTTCATCCCTGAAAGTAATCGTGTTTTGTTTCCACATAGAAGTTGAGATCGTGTTATTCTTTACTCAACTTTCGCGTCTTATTTGACTATCTGTCGATTATTTGACTTAAATGACTCTAATTGACTTCATATCACATTAATCGTCTCTATGTTTAAGTCTCGTCTAACAAGACGTGTGTGAGTTAATTGATTCGACTTATCCTCAATATGGGAACAAATTATTATTATTTTAATAGTTTTTACCCGCAGCTTATTCTGGGTAGAATCAAAATTTTTCCAACTACAAACTTCAAACCATGTGGCGTTTTTTGTGGTAAAATGCACGGAAAAAATTCTTCAATAGGGTGACACCAGTAATTCAAGTTGAGTGGTTCAGTGTTTTCACGGTCCCTCGCTCCCTTCTCCCGGCCACAACCGTTGTATAATTATCATTAAATTAAGTAGTTTTAGAATCATCACAAGTCATCATTTAATTAGTTCTAACACGCTAAAATGAAATGTTATACATTCTAAGTTAAAGAGCTCGTAATGTTCTTAAAATCTATAAGGAAAGAGACCTGGAAAAAGTTTGCTTGCGTGTGACCACCCTGCGTGAAAGGTATCCGTCCGGTCTCGTTTCTTGACTTTTTCAGCCGTAAAATCAAAGCTGGAAAGTTCAACTAATCGTCATTCTCGCCTTTGTATCCGATCATAAGCGTGGCGTCCGTGCGCCGCCCGGTACATTTCACTCACCGTCGCCATCGTGTCGCGTCGGCTCAAAAATAGGTCACGCGCGAATATGTTGACTTTTCCATCCGTTTTTTTCCTTCGTAGTAAACGTTCCGCCGAGGTTTAATTGTTTATTTTTCCTTAAATGTCTCTTCTATTTTGAAAAAAGGTCAGAAGAGTAAGAGCTGATATTCGCACCAGTTCGATTTATGGAAAATGTGGCGTAGAGGTAGAGGGTATGCGGCAAATGTCAACTTCTAATCTAGTAATGTTGGAGTCAAGATCGTAAACTCCATACCGTTTTGCCTTCTCAAAATTTAATTGAAATTTTCTCTACTGAAAGAACTCAGGATGTCTGATATTTATTTTATCATTCGTCTATCGTGAAAAAGGTGACATTATACCAAATTTCGTAGGATATTTTTTGTTGCATTATAATTCCTGAGCCGATTTTCTTAAACATTTTTATGACACCTGGAAACATTTCCTGAATCTTTTTAATAAATCGGGCGCCACCGTTTCCTCGTTAACAAACAAATAATGCGGTGAAATCAGGCATCAATTAATTTCACTCGGTTGCCCAGAGAAACATTGCCCAAATCTACTTTCATTCCTTCTCCATTATGAAGGAATAAGATGATTGATTCTATAGCATACACGAGAAAAATGTATGGTAGGTATGTCCCACCGGTCTTCCTGATTTTTGCAACAGGGATACTTCTAGTGACGGCATTCTCATAGTCCTGGTGAAATTCACTACCCTACCCGAGGGTTTCTACGAATCTTGTGAAACTCTACTGATAGTATGGTTAAACCCACCAGAACTCTGGTTGCCTTAGATTTCTAGTGAAACTTACCATATTTTATTTTTGTGTATCTCTCCCGCCCAATCTACCGATACCCTGGAACATAAATGGACTGCGTTTTGCAATTTGGAACTACAATTTCTAGCTCAGCTTTAAAACAACGCTTGGGCCATTAGTTTCCCCTACATAATTGATTTTACAGACGAGCCACAAAGTGAAGTTCCAAATTGCAAAATGCAGTCCAAATGTCAGTTGAGTCACTCAATGAACCCAACACATGTGATTGTAGTTCCCGCGCAAACCAGTGCCCAAACGGCCACAAAGAGAGCTGGCAAAGTCTCTATCGCGTTGGTGCCGTAATCGTCTAACTTTGTGTAGCATGTAAATCAGCATTAGAGCTCTTATCAGCTCGTGCATTGCGCGGAGGGCGAAGGGAGGGGGGGGGGTCACGCGGGGGCGCCAAAGGGTTCGCACAGAGGCGTCGGCGTCGCGACGCGGCGACTCTATTGGTGGACGAAATCAATATCAAGGTCGCCGGAGCCTAGTTGGCGTTGGCATGGCATGGTGCGACCGTATGCGCATCGGCGAGCGATTAAGCAACGCTCATTAACGGCCACACCATCTGCGCCGCTCGTGGTCACTTGGTCAGTTCATTCATTACTCAAGGCACCTTTGACCGCCTCTCCCCCTTCGGACCCCGCTTGGGTCCTCGTTATACTCTGGACCATAGTTGACGGAATCATCCGTAATGGAGATGTTGCATGTGTGAGGAATTTGCGATTTGACTTAGTTCGCGAGAAACACGATGGTGCCACTGGTTTTCTCTGAAATCATTTCCCAAGCTCAAAAAAAGCTCTCAAGTTGAGGCCAATATGGAGGGGATATCCCACGCTAC